GGAGGAGGGCGGAGGGAAGAGGAGGAGGACGAGTGAGGGGGCGGGAGGCATAAGGAGGGCGGGAAGGAGGAAGAGGTAGGATGGAGGAGGAGGAGGAGGAGGAGGAGGAGGAGGAGGAGAAGGAGGAGGACGGAAGGAGGAAGGAGGAGGACGAGGAGGGAGGAGGACGAGGAGGGAGGACAGAAGAGGCGGATGAGGGAGGAGGGAAGAGGAGGGAAAACGACCGCGGTGCCCAGGTCGGGAGCTCGAGTGCCACAGCCGGCCTGGCCACCTCTCCGAACCCCTCCCATAACATGTCGTTGCTCGAGCGCCACACCTGCCCCGGCCAACTCCCGCAACATCCATGACATGTGGGTGCTCGAGCGCCACAGCGGGCCTGGCCAACTCCCGCAGATACCCATAACATATGCCGTACCCCACCTCGATGCGAGCGCGATATGATCGCTGCGTCCGTATCCGCTAAAATCAACGACACTTCGCATTTGTCATCTGGGCCTCAAATTGAAAATCGCTCGGCCTGCTCAAGTAGTACACCTATCTTGCAGCATATCGTTTCCGGAGCGGTGTGGCCAGAAAGCGCCCGCCACGACGCATATTCATATACCATAAGATTTCTCGGTGCGCGCGTCGACCCTGAGGGGGGCGACGCACATATAGTATAAGTATGTTGGGGTGGCGCCGATCAGAAGGCGGCGAGGCTTCTCAGAAGTCCTCCAGCCTTCTGAGAAGTGCTCCGTGTCTTCGGGGAAGGCTTAAAAGACCTCTCAGAAGGCGGGAGGACGTCCGAGCCCTCTGATAATGCCTGCGCACTCTCGCTTTCCCCCCCGGGCGCGCCGCCGACAGGAGGCTCCTCCTCAGTGGGCTCCTGGGCGGTCCAGCGGGGCGGAGGGGCACGCGGATCCAGTCGAGACCTCACGGCTCCCTTGGGGGGTGGGGGGGTCCAACTACGCAGGCGTCGCCACTTTCGTGGGCTCCTGGGAACGGGGTCCTGGGATGCCGAGCGGATCGGAGGGACACGCGGTAGATGTCGCGGCTCCCTTGGGGTGCTGCCAACTGCGCGAGTGCTGCCACTTTCGTGAGCTCTCGGGAGGGAAGTCGGCGGTCGAAGGTTCTGGTCATTTAGGGCGCGTTCGTGGTGGACTCCCGTGACATCGGGACTCCTGGTACACCTCCAGGGAATCTCTAAGGAAGGGTCGGCGACTCCGAAAGGTGCGGTTTGCACAGGGTGTGGTTTGCAACCCGCGCCTGGGGGGCGGACAAGGACCTCGCCAGAGATCTCTGCCGCGCCCCGACGAGGGCTCATCAAACCGGTGGCGCAACGTGGTGACCCCTGAGCCCCAGCGGCGCCGATCGCAAACCAGACCCTGGCGCAACCACGCCCTTTGTAGTCGCCGAGAAGGCAGGAACGAGGGGGGAGGAGTGCGCTTCAGATGCGTAAGGAGGATCGAGCGCACCTGGCGCGAGTGTCCAGACTGCGTGCCTCAACATGGCGCCGGGCCGAAACTCAAAAGCGGGCGGGCAACAGCTTCCGAACCTCCTGGGGCCCACATTTTGAGCCAACTCGTTCTGCAACAGTGGCAGCCAGCTTACCACTAAAGCACGGCATTCATAGCGCCGGCCTGGCCCCAGCCGACCCTTTTCACTTTGTCCTCGGATCCAATGGAGCAGCCTTCCAAGCGATGAAGGCGAGGGGGTCCTGGGCATCCTTCCGCGGCGATCTGGAATCTCTGGCGCAAGACGCCCCCCCCCTCCCCCCCCCCCGCCACTCTGGAGACGCGTGCCCCGCCGCAGCGCCAGCCATTGGGAGGCGTCGAAGCGCCTGCTCTTTCAACTTCGCGACCAGAAGAGGCCGGCACGAGCGGAACGCGGCCGGAGCTGCACGGCCGCGAGCAGCGCGCGAGGCAGGAGCGAGGCAAGGCATCTTAGGCCCTCTCCACTTTCCAATCCTGAACCAACCGGCCCCGCGCAAGCGCGGCGAGGGAAGCGGGGCCTATCGTCCAGCGCGGCGGTTTCCTGCGCCAGAGGCCTGCAAAATGGCGGGGGAAATTTACCGACGCACGTCGCGACCGCGACGCGCCCGCTGGGAGAGAGCACGGCAGCGAGGATGGCGGGCGCACTCAAGCCCGTGAGAAGGCGGCCGCGAGACCTCCACTTCTCAAAAGGTCAGACCAGGACGTTTTCAAACGCGCTCGGTCCCGGCCATTTTTCGAGATACCTCAAATTCGGGGCCGCCCCGAAGTCTGTGGTCGCAGGGCGCGAGGCAGAGGCGTCCAGGGAGTAGGGCCTGCTGAAGCGAGGGGCCATGGGCGCGGGCGCGTCGGTCGTCGCGGCGGCGCCCGACATCGAGGCGAGACGGGCGAAAAGGTCGATCGCGATGAAAATTTCGCCGAACTGCCCGTTCATCGCAAACCCTCTCTGGAGCGAGGAACTGCCTCCGGCCATCTTGACCGAGGACGGGCGAATGATCGCGCTCGCGAAAATCAGTTCTCTGACTTGTTGAAACCAAGCGGGCGAAACGACTGGGCGCCCAAATGTCTCCCTCATTCTTCTTTTGAATAAATGCCCCCGGAGCTCATTGAAGTCTGACATCTGGGAATTCCCACCCATAACCCATCATATAGATTCATCTGGCACCTCAGCCGCCAGTGGGGCAGTCCGCCAGGCAGCGCCAGGATGGCGGCCCGGGCCTGGCGGGCCGGAGACGCCCGTCCTCGCAGCAAATCGCCGGCGCCATGGGTGCTCGATTCGCGGCAACTCCAGGACTTAGCTGGATGCCTTTGACGCGCAACCGCCGATCTAAAAGGAGCCTGATCGCAGCGCGCCTCTGAAGCTGAAGTTGTCGCAGGCGACGTTTGCGACCGGCTCAGGGGCGCCCTCGCAATCGTCTTCCATCGGCTCGCTTTGCCGGGCTTCCAGATCGGCGGCGCGCAATTGGTCGAGCTCCGTCGCAAACTGGGTCGGGCCCAACGGCGACGCGCGACCGCCGAGGGCGCCCAGCCCTGAAGGGGTCGAGCACGAAGATGGGCCTGCACAAGAAGGGCCCGAAATTCCGCGTCTTGCCACCGCGTTGCCCTCGCGATCGACCGGTGCAGAAAAACGCTGGCGAGCCGCGAATGCGGTTCGCGATGAAGATGGCCGTTCCGAGCGAACCTCGCGTCCTCCGTCATCATTCGCCCGTGGGGCCCCACCTGCAGCGGTGACCATGGCCCTTCCCGCCGCGCCGATTTTGGGGAGGAAGCCCCCATAAAGTCCTCGGGGCACTGAATCGAAAGATCGCCTTCGGAACAGGGCGCCCCTGAGGAAGGGGTCTTTGGAATACTTTTGAAGCCCGCGGATGCGCCGGCGTGATCCAGGGGGCCTCTGCAGCGCGCCACCTCGACGAGGTCCGTCGCGGGCCCGGGGCGCGCGGCTAAATCGAACCATCCAGGCGTCGAAACGAGGGCCCAATCGATCGCCCCGGTCGGATCGTTCGGGATGCCGCAGCGGGCGGGGCCAGGCTGCTTAACGCCCGCCACCTTCGAAACAAGTTTCTGCCAGAGGGAGCCCCGCCCAGCTCCCCTGCCACCCTGGCCGAAGTTCACGGCGGCGACTCGCTAAAGTTGAAATCTCTGGCCAAATTCGTCGGCGCTCTCCCGAAGGCTTGTCTAGCTGGAGGAAAGTCGTGCTCGATTGCTTTGGCGACGCGCATCTCGCCCTCCCGAGAAAGCCCACTCCTGTGAGCCTTCCAGCGCGATATCAAACAATCCCCAGACTCCTCGAACATCCTCGAACATTGCAGTCAAATTGAAAACCCCGCCTGGAACAAGCTCCCCAACATGACGAACAGAAGGACCCCAGCGCAGATTTCAGGAGAGAACGCTCGCAATCGAGAGCATTCGTGCACAGAGCAAGAGAGCGAAGCATCTTGATATTATTGTGGATCTGGTGCGGCATATCTTCAGCCTCCGCCAGGGCCCGCGGGCCTCTTGCATTCCCTGGGTGGTGGTCGGGTAGAAAACGGGTTCGGAAATGAGTTATTTCCTGAAAGCGGAGTCGGGTATCATGATGTATCGAAGCCCTGGCGCTGCAGCTCCAGCGCGTGATCGACATGCTCGATTTGGCTGGTGATGTACCTCTCCATGCGCGGAGAAACCTGCTAAAGACACCACTCAATCGCCTCTGTCTCCTCCAAGAGGTTCGCAACCAGCATCCAGCGAGCGGATGGCATTTCCAGGATGTTCTGATGACGCCCTTCATCCCGTTCACAAAAAGACTCTTCTCACTGTGCAAGTTAGCCAGATCCCTGGCGACCGTCTTCGGGCTCGCGTCACAGCTGATACTGAACTCCACCGCAACGCCTCCTAAGGGCGACCGTGCCGCGGTCCTCCTCCAACCAACGTTACGACCAATAAATTTGGAATTTCTGATGGCCTGCCGCGCCTTCCTGCCCGCGTAGCACTTGTGGCACTGGAGAGCGATGCTGAACCGTTTCCCACAGGCCCTCCCTCCGCCCCGTACTCGTCGACATGCGCACTGCAATCCTCCAGCCATGAGAACACTGCCTTCGCGATCGTCTCCGATGGTAAAGGGGGGTCCAACATCGCACCACAATGGCCGGCTCGTCAATGCTCCCGTCGAAACTCTTGTCATAGTCCCTCGCAGTGGGTTCCTCGCGATGGAGCAAGCCCAGCATGTCCCGCAACTCCTGCACTTCGCGTTCGAGTTTGTCCATCCGCGCGTCGTGCACATCTACCTTGTGATCCACATTTCAGACAATTTTCTCCACCGTTTTGTCGATGCTGTTGCTGTGATCGACCATCCTGTTGCTGCAAGCCGTGAAAGTCTGCTACCTGACCATGATGCTGTCCATGACGTTCTTGTGAGTCTGATGAACGACATGCCAAAACACAGCGTGAGGGTCTTCATCTCCAGCTCGGCGCTGGCGTGCGTACTCTCTTGGACTCCCTGCTCCCGACCGACGAGAAGCCAACAGGGTTGTGTCGGTGTCGGCCGAGCTTTGGGGAATGATGCCTGCTGCAGGACTGGGGCCACCAGTGCCAGCGTGGTCTCCACGTCCGACTGGTCTGGTGACGCGGGCGGAATGTCCGAAGGTCCTCCACGACGCTCGGGCGATTTGGCTCCTGCCAACGTAGGGCAAAGTTCTCCTTAATCGAAGAAGCCAGCATCCAGCCCTCCGCGGTGGAAGCCTTCGAACACCTCCTCGTAGCCCCCATTCCAAAGCAGGGTACTTTTTGGCGGCGGTGCCGTCTGAGCCGCTCCTGCCCAGCATCCTCCCGTTCCTCTTGGCAGCCCCAGCACGGCCGTCGGCCAACACGTGAGCAGCAGGTCTGCGAGTGTGGCCGGAAACAGATTGTGGCGAGCTCGCGGGGCCGCGCCGTGGCCTCCTGACGGCCTGAGTCCTTTGAGGGTTGTCGCACGGCGGCTGAAACCAACGCTCGAGCTCCTGCGACAGGGAGTTCAAACTTGAGCCAACCTCGCTACGGTTTCCTCCTCCTCCTCCTTCTCCTTCTCCTCCTCCTCCTCCTGGTCCTCCTCCTCCTCCTCCCTCCTCCCTCCTCTCTCCTCCCCCGTCCTCCCTCCTCCCTCCTCCCTCCTCCCTCCTCCTCCTCCCCTCCTCCCCCCTCCTCCCCTCCTCCTCCCCCTCCTCTCCTCCCTCCTCCCTTCCTCCCCCCCTCCTCCCCCCTCCTCCTCCCTCTCCTCCCTCTCCCTCCCTCCCTCCTCCTCCCTCCTCCTCCTCCTTCTCCTCCCTTCTCCTCCTCCTTCTCCTCCTCCTCCTCCTCCTCCACATCCTGCCCCTCATCCCTCCCCCTCCTCCAAGTCCTTGCTCATCCGCCACCTCGCCCCGATCCCGATCCCGCCAGCCCAGTCCATCGCCCGAGCACGGAGCACGCCCCAGCCGGCCGATCGGGCCCGAACACACCGCCCCGACCGCGGATCCACCTACGGCAAGTTGTTGTCGTGCCGACTTCGGCGTTGGTCTCTGACACCGCGGAGGTCGTTCCAACTTGAACGATCGGTCGTTTCAGAAATGCCGGGTCATTCAACGATGGGCCGATTCTGGGCGGGAGTTCGATCTTGAACGCCCGCGCTGGGGTCGCCGTCGGTCCCCAGACATGCGACGTCCTGATTTTACAATGCGCGGTCCCTAAAAGTCCCGACACTTTCCCTGGGACCACATCCTGGGTCGTTTTTTGACGGCCCCAAGGCTGGGTGAAGGCCCCCAGAGGCGGAAGACTACAAACAACCTCCCGCCCTGATGTTTTCACGACGCGAGCATGCCTGGGTCGACACGACGCGAACCATCCCTACGGGCTGGCGTCGGATCGACAGGCGCCGCCGCTGAAAGCTTACGCGGCCGCTCGGCGGCCGCGGCCGCGGCCTCGACCGGCCCCGCCCCGAGCCTCGAGCAGGGGCCCCGCCTTGGCCCGACCGGCGGGGCGGCTGGCGCGGCGACCGACGAGGCGACCGCGGGCGGCGGCCGCCACGTGCGAGCCGACGCGGCTGCCGACGCGGCGGCGGCGGGCGGCCGACACGGGCGAGACGGCCGGCCCGGCGGCCGATGCGGCGGCGGCGGGCGGCTACAGCGGGCGGGCCGATCGCCGGCGGGCGCCGGCCGAGCCCGCCCCGCTGAGGGGCGCCCCGGTCGACGGGCGAGAGCCTTCCGAGCCCCGGGCTGTCCAGCACGGGCAGCGTGTCCGGGTGCTTGGGCCCGCGGCTGCGCCCGATGCTGCCCAGCGTGGCTCTGTAGAGCTTCTCCGCGTCTTGGTACTTGCCCCTTGGCGGGCGGAGCCGTAGGCGCGGGCGAGAGCTGTGCGACGGCGAGCATAGGATGAGCATTTCTGAAGGTTACCGACGCCGACGCCGATGCCGACGCCTGCCGCGTGCGGCGCCGACATCCACGTCTGGAGACCGCTTATAGGTCCTGGGGTGGTGGTCCCAGCGTCCCGCCGGATGGGGCCTCGGCAATGCCCCGCCTCAGGCGGAGACGGAGGAGGAGGAGGAGGAGGAGGAGGAGGAGGAGGAGGAGGAGCAGGAAGAGGAGGATGATGATGATGATGATGATGATGATGAGGAGGAGGAGGAGGAGGAGGAGGAGAGGAGGAGGAGGAGGAGGAGGAGGGGGAGGACCAGTGTAAACCCAAGAGTCACCAACGATGTTTGAACAAACCTTCCCTCCAAGCTCCCTCTTCATAGGAAACTGCAACGGCTCACATCTACTGAGAGAACTGCCTCGTTGGAAGACAACCGTTTGAAGAGCCTGAAGCATGCCAAAAAATTCTCGGGATTCCAATGCCACGGATCGCCCTTACCGTTGCGTCATGATAATCCTGAATCGTGCCAGGACGCCATTCCTGGGATCCTTCTCATCCTCATCCTGCTCCCTCTCCTCCTCCTCCTCCTCCTCCTCCTCCTCCTCCTCCTCCTCCTCCTCCTCCTCCTCCTCCTAGTCCTCCTCCTCCTCCTCCTCCTCCTCCTCCATCCGGCAGCAGTATCGACTCCACCTTCAACGGATGCGATCTCCTGCAGCTGACGACGCCGCCTCTGACATGGGCAGCGAGGTCGGTGAAGGTGACCTTGAGCAAGGGGAGCGTGACCAGCTTCGTGAGCTCAAAAAGCGTGTTGCTGACACGGGACTTGACGAGAATGCCGCAAAGGAGTATGCCGACCTCATCCAGAAGTGCATCATCGCCAAGTCGACGAAGCGTGCTCGCATCAGCCAGAGCGTCACTTGCGACATGTACCGCGCCTTCTGCAACGCCACCGCGAAGCAGATGGGCCAGCACGGGGCTGGGTTCGCCCCGCCAGGAGGTGCTGCTGGTGGAGGCGCGGCTGCTTCTGAGGCCCAGCCCTCTGTTTAGCACGCCTCCTCCGCCCCCTGTGGCGGCGTCGCCCCATTTGCCCCTTCAGCATGTATTTTTAAAGTTTGTCAATGTAACGCAATGGTCTAAGCTCACTCAGGACTTTCTCGCAGCTAAGGTTTCTGAGGTTGATGGGATATTCCTGGCTGAGCATCATCAGCGAGGGCCAGGCTGCTTTCTGGCCAAGAAGACTTGTCGACATATGAAGTGGTCCCCACACTTTCAGGATGCGTTGGCATCGCCAGGTGGAGGCACACATGGTGGAGTCGCAGCGGTTGTCCAGCCACGTCTCTGCTTTCGTAAGTTTCTCGTTCAATTGTCCGTGCTAAGTGTTCTGCCCAGGTGTGGGCCCAGGCCAGTCAGCATTATTGCGGGCAAGGACTCGCTACTGGTGCTGATCTGACTGTGTTTCGTGCCAAGCATAAGAAGTTGCTGGACGACGGCGACTACAAGAGTGCTGCTCTTCTTGCGACGATTGTGGTTGGCGCATGTTGGCCAGAGAGCCGTCTTGAGGATAGTGGATATCTAACCTCGGGCAAATGTTTCCGCTGTGGTGACGAGCGTGAAACGCCTCTTCACCGATGCTGGGGCTGTCCTTCCAATGCGTTGCTGTTATGTCCCAGCATTTCTGGCAGCGAGTACCTTGTCGAGGATGCTCAAAATGCAGATCCAGCCAGTGCCTTCTTCACTCGCGGGGTCCCATCAGTGGATGCCTCATGTGGTCACCTACCTCCTCCACAGACGAGTGTTTGGACATGGGGTACCTTGAGGGCTCAGCTACGTGTTCCAGGAGGAATGTGGGGCCTTGATGGCTCTGGTGGAAAGTATGCTACTGATAAACGGCTTCGTCGATGTGGGTGGTCGATCGTGAGTTTGGGCTGCCCCGACGGGCTCTCCCTCCAGCTCAATGCAGTAATGTGTGGTAGTCTCCCTACTGCTGAACAGTCGAGTCCTCGTGCTGAACTCTATGCGTTCCTCATGGTGATCACGCGTACTGTTGATGATATATTATGTTATTCTGATTATCTGCCCTTGGTGAAAGGGCTCAGGCAGCCACGAGCTCAGGTAGTTGCCAGTAATACCATGCTCGATCTGTGGGTTCGGATCTGGTCGGATCTCGATGATCGGGGCCCCGGTCGGGTCGAGGTCCTGTGGATCAAGAACCACTCGACGGCCCAACAGCGGGCCCAATTCGCCATAGGGGAGGAGGAGTTTTTCCTGAATTGGTGTGCTGATTATTTTGCTGCATGGGCTGCGGAGCGTTCGGCCCCCAACCCAGAGCAGGTTGATCTAACTCAGTTTGTTGATAGGACAACTTCTCACACGCTCGATCGTTTGTTGGCGATCCACAAGGAAGTTGTCCAGGCCAACCCAAGGAGGACTTCTGACAGGCTCGGCCGCCCGCCGCCACGCCCACCTCCTATCCCCTCCTTCCTTGTCAGGAAACAGAGGTTGCGGAGTGCTGGCCATGATGAGCCGAGAATGTGCGGATTGTTTTTGAAGTGTCAGATGTGTGCGCGTAGGTTCAGTCTGAAGGGTCGTGTCCAGGACTTTCGTCCAGGAACCTGTCCTGGCCCTGCCCATCTCTCTTCTGACCCGCTCACCCACCCTCTCTATCCAGGTTGTGCCACGAACCACCGATTGAGAGTGTTGCGAGGTGTTTTGTATTGTGCCCATTGTGGTGCTCATGCATATGTGAATGTTCAGAGTCTTGCCCGACCTTGTAAGACGGATCGCCCCCCCACGAATGCTGGGGCTGAGGTGCTTCCCCGTCTGGAGAGGGGGTTGCCCCCCAAGAGGGGAGGTAAATTCCCGCATGCTGCGTGAATGGAAGACGTGCCCAGGCTTGACCTGGTCTCCACGAGCTTTCTGATCTGATCTGATCCTCCTCCTCCATCCTCATTGTCGTTGCGCAAACTGTGGGAATGAGGCTGAAGCGTAACCTCCTCCTCCTTCAGGGTCTTCACACGGTTGTCCCCCTGCGGGACAATTCCAACAGTGGAAATGAACCGTTGTAGGGGCCTGTGAAGAGGGAGCTTGGATGGAGGGTGTACTCCAAACATCGTTGATGAGTCTTGGGTTTGCACGGGTCCTCCTCCTCCTCCTCCTCCTCCTCCTCCTCCTCCTCCTCCTCCTCCTCC